GGTGCTAGTATGGAAATGTATCTCGAAGAGATGTCCCCATCATTTTACGGAAAAACATACACTGAGAGTGCCCTGTATGTACGTCTTCTTTTCATGACTGTTCAATTTTAATTATGTAGCATCTGTTTTAAACTTCGACTTATGCTTTTGGCTGTGGAAATAAAACAAACTGATGAGCATGGTCATATAAGATTCACTATCGACGTTGTACCGTGTGATAATTGTGTTATTGTTCGTGGATGTCGCGCATTTGTCGTAGGCATGTCCAGTGAAGATGCTAGCAGGTTCGTTAGTTTTCTTTTCCTTCTGAAAAAAAAAGCCACAATCAACTATTGGTTTGGTTTTTTTAGAGTGAAATATTACTGTTCAACTTGCGATCCAGTACTCGACCAATTGACAGAATCACAGCTGAAACACATGCGAACGTGTACACATAGTAAGTGAACATCAGTAAATATATTTATTCATGCATACAACAATGTATCCCTAATAGTAGAAAATGATGGTATAGATGACAAACAAAGGTTGATTCATGATCAATTGTCCAATATCCAAAACAAGGAACATGCTACTATGTGAATTATTTGAATACTTGAAAATAGAATACACTTTTCTATTTTTATCTCTCTGTTATGCCTTGTTTTTGTTCTAGTCATATACCAGATAACGACGTCATTCAACCTCTTATGTCGTCACAGCTTGAACAAAGAAATTCCCCATGTTTGGGTCGTAATGAAGTGTATGTTATGATTTATCTTTTGATTTGTTCGCTTTTCAAGCGTCCCTTTGTCGCACAATTGAAAAAATGCGCGTAATTAGAATGAGAGAATAGCTGCACATTTACTCATAGAAATCTTCTGAATCTACTGCATTTATTAGTATTAAAGATTAGATGTGTGATTTGACGCATATAAATATTTGTTCTTTCTTTCATAGACAGTTCAAGGAGAAAATATCAAGCTTTGATTCAACCGGCATGTTTTATTTTACACCATCACGTCCCATCGAAGACGCTGTTATCGTAGGTTTTTATGAACACAAAGCTTATGAGAAAGAAGATCGTCCAGTATCTATTCTGTTTATGTAGAATGCTAATTTGCTTAGAGAATATCATGCTTCACTCCATGAAAGGGTTACTACATACGATCGATCAACAATTTCCCAGCATCCTCTCCATTTTAAGGATCGTAAGTATGATTACTCATCAGAACAATGTTTCTAG